ACATCTTCTGTCTTCATCAGGCGATCGGAACTTATTTTGTTTATGTAAAACTTGTATTTACCGTCATAATAATCATATATATGTAGTTATAAAAGATTTTAAACTTATTTTCAATATTTTTTTCTTCATTATTAAGCGCCCACAAAAATCAAAAGAAGCGTATTAAAAGATGATGTTATATTTTTTTAATTTTAGCAAAATAAAGCAATGAATTTTAGCATTTATTGAAAACGATTAGTAGAGGAAAGACTTGCATGAAAAGGCTTGCAAACAAAAAGTTTTCAGTAGAGTAGGATATAGAAGAGAAAGCAAAGTAAGTGAGAAACCATTAAAAATTAAAATTTAAAATAAGAAATAATCTTGGGAAAAAATAAACCAAAAGTTGACCAAAGCAGACAAGCAATGAAGTTGGAGTGGCGTTTGATTGCGCGGAAGGAAATGTTTTAAAACTTCTAACTAGCTAGTTGTAAGTATATATCAAAATTACCGTATACCGCGGCAGTAGAAATTTACTTAAAATGTTTGCTTTACGGTCCATAAATTAGAGTTTTCTTAGTATGAAAAAGAATATTTTGTTATGGCAATAAGATCTAATTCTTTCAAGAAATATTTTGCTTTATTGTAATAAGACAATGATAATAATTACAACACCGAATATGCAAAAAAAGAAGAGAAATTATTGCAAAATGGGAAAAATTGAAATTTCCCCTTATTATTTTTCCAAAAAAAAAAAAAAAAAATAGTAGAAACCTGAAGACATAAAAGATGTGTTTTTATAAATATATCAAATTTATTTGCTATTAGTTCTTACAAATGTTTAGCTAGTACAACAAAAAATTACAAAATTACAAAGCTATGCGTTTATAAAAAGAGACCACCTCCTACCACTCCATAGAATTATTTCAAATGAAACAAAAACTCTTAAATCAACACTAAACAAACTCAATCATGCCTTTATATACATACATATATACATATGTATAAATATGTATTATCAAAATCCCTCAACAATGCCAATGCCATTCAAGCAACCAACTCAATTTACATACATATTTCCCACTTTTTGTTATTATTTTCAATTTTTTATTATTTTTATTCAACCGTAGCTCGCAGCAGAATATTTGCTCTACAAAATTTGCTAAGCTCAAAAAAAAAAAAAAACAAACTCAAAAAAAAAAAAAAAAAAAATTTAGATTGAAATGCAAAGAACAATAAATCGCATAACAAAATAGCAAACTTTTGTTCTACATTTCTTTTTCACCACGAGCTTGGGAAAACAAACCGCGTTTGTGAACTTAATAGAGCACATTGTTGAGTGATGCAATGAAATAACAAAATGGAAATTTGAAATACAAACACATATCCACTAGCACCAACACAAATATGCACGCACATACATATGTATGTACATAGTTATGTACACCAAAATATGGGCAAAATATTAAAATTCCACACTAAATTTAGCAAATGCAGCACAAACAAACCGCAAATGCAATACACACAAATAGAAAATTGCAAAAAAATACAAATTTGAAAAATTAATAAAAAACAAAAAAAAAAATGAAAGAATAACAAAAATTTCTCGAAAAATAGTTTCCTCGCTATTTTGACTGAAATTCGAATACTCGAAAATTAATTTTTTTCTGCGTTTGTAGATTACAGCTAAATGCTTGTACGTAAATTTATGCTTGTCCGCCTACAGCGCTTTGTATGTCTACTCGACACTAAGTAAATTTACAAATTTAGTTACCGTTTCCTAGTCTACACAGCTGCGTGATATTTTGTAATATTTGTCAAAAAAAAATCTAATTTTAAATATAGTGACAACTAAGCTTTTTTTTTTGTTCTACAGAAAAACAAAAATTATTTTCTTTTACTTAAATTAATTCATATTATTATTTTAATTTAAGTTTAACCCTTTATCGTATATTTTTATTTAGATTAATTTCATTCGTTGTTTTATTTCAATTAAATATAATAATTTTAATATAACTATTTTTTTTTGACTTTGTTTTGTTTTACGTAAAATAAATATATTATATATTTAATTAATTTTTTTTATTTTATGTTATGTAAAAAAAAAAATTATTTTATATTGTTGAATTAGATTTTTTCGTTTTATTTTAATTTGTTTTCATTTACTTCAATATTTTTAATTCCAATTTTTTTATGTTATTTTGTTTTATTTTGTCTGGTTTAACATAGTTTTTTAATTATGCGTTTTTATTTTAATTTTTATTGATTCCATTTCTTTATTTTTTATTATATTTTATATATTAATTAATATTAATTTGATTTGATTTTATTTTAATTTTATTTATTTTTATATTTATGTTAACTTTATTTTATTTTTATGAATTTGTTTTATTCTGTGTTATATATAATATAATAATGAATTATAAGTTTTAAATTTAATTTATTTTATTTTATATTATTTATTTTATAGTATTTAATTAATTTTATTAATTTATTTTAATACTCTTTTATTTAGAGTTGTTAGGTTATTTCATTTTATGTCTTTTATATTAATTTATGTTTTCTTATTGTTTATTAAATTTTCATTAATTTCATTTTCTCTTCTTTTATCTTAATTATTTAGTTTTATTTAATTATGTTTCAATCTATTTAATTTTTTTTTGTAACTTTTTATATTACATATAATTTAATTTAACTAATTTACTATAATTTTAATTACTTCTTTATTTAAATTTTTTATTTCTTTTATTACATTGGTTTAAATTTGTTTTAGTTCATTTAACTTAATTTTAATAATTTATTCAGTTTAGTTTGCTATTTATTTATTCTATTTCATTCTATTCTATTATTTTTAATTTTTTATATTTTATTTCGTTCAATTTAATTTAATCTAATTTAAATACTATAATTTTAATTTAATTTATTTTAAATTGTTTTCGTTCATTTAATTTAATTTTTTCCTACTTTATTTTAATAGTATTTTTTTTAAATTTATTTAATTTGATGTTATTTATTTAATTTATTTTTTTAAATAATTATATATTCATTTATTATTTTTTTCATTTTTTATTTATTTGACTTTATTCAACTTTTCTTTACTTAATTTATTTTTGCTTACTTTATTTTATTTCACTTTATATTCTTTTATGTTACTTTATTTTACTTGACGGTGTTTTGTTTTACTTGCTTTTTATTTTTTGATTTATTTAAATGCATTTTAATTTTATTTAATAATTTTATTCTATTCGAAATTTTTTTATGATTTATTAAATAGTTTTGCTTTGTATTGTTTCATTTAAGTTAATTTTAACTTATTATGTTTTATTTTGTTAAATTTTTTTATATTATTTTATTTAATGTGTTTTTCATTTTTTTACAATATTTTAATTTATTTTAATTTAACTTATTAATTTTATTAAATTTAAAATATTTTTTATTTCATTTAATGTTATTTTTCCATTTTCTATTTTAGTTTATTTTCTTTTAATTATTTTATTTGGTGTTATTTTATAATTTAAATTTTGCTTAATTTATTTTGATTTTTTTTATTGTTTTACGCTATTTTAAGCTTTTTAATTTTTTTTCTTTTATATATTCTTTTTTATTTTTAAATTTCTTTTTATTTTTGGATATTTTATTTAATTAAATTTAGTTTAATTTATTTTGTTTGACTATATATTATGTTATTATTTTATGCTTTTTTATGCTATTTTATTTTATTTCCTTTCATTTTCTTACCTTTTATTTCCCTGGTTTTTCTTTCAGATTTTTTTTTTAATTTTTTTCATTTTCTTTTATTTTATTTTATTTTTTTTTTTAAATTATATTAATTTATTCTATGTCATTTAATTGAATATATATTACATTTTTGTCCGCTTTATTTTATATTATTGATTTATGTTATATTATTTTTTATTGTATTGGATTTTATTTCATTTAATTTTTTAGTTTTATAATAAATATATATAAATATATATTTTTATTGTTTATTTTTTAAAAATTACTTAGTTTGTCTTATTTAATTTTAATTTATTTTATTTTATTTATTTTAGTGAAATTAATTTTCTTTAAATTATTTCGTTTTATTTAATATTAGTTTATTTATTTATTATTTTTAATATAAACTAGATTTTAATTCGTTTATTTTTATTCATTTATTTTTTTTTTATATAATATAATTTTTTTTATTTTCATTTATTTATTTTTTTTTTTTCCTATATAAGGTAAATTTTAATTCAATTATTTTTGTTCTTTTAATTTTATTTTATTTCTTTTTTTTAATTTTCATTAAATTATGGATTTATTTTTACTGATTTTATTTTATTTATTTCATGTTTTCATTAGTTTTACACCACAGTGTTAGTTTTATTTAGAAAATTTTATATTTATTATTCATTAATATTTAATTAAATTTGTTGAAGTAAGTTTTATATTAAATATATTATTTTTTATAATTTTTTTCATTTTACAACATACACATATTTTTTTTTGCTTTAATTTTTCGATTTTGGTTTAATTTGTTTATGTTATTTGTTCGTTTTTAATTTATATTTGTTGCATTTTTTATTCTGTATCATTTTTATTAATTTTTATATTTCTTTTATTTTCTTTTATTTTCCTTAGTTGTTTTATTTGTGAGTCAGACACGAGCTTCTAGAGTCGCTTTAAACATTTTCCTCAGTTTTCCTTGACAACAAAGAAAATAAGTATAATAAAAAACTCACATGTGATTTACATTTGTAAGCACATACACACACACACTAGCAAACATCGCATATTCAGTGCTTGATTGACATATCCTTGCAAAGATTTTTTCGTTTTATTTTCGTTTGTGCATATTTTGACAAGCAACAATTTGCATTTCCTGCTTTGCTTGGATTTTCACGATTTATTTATGTATGTTTACGTTTTGATTTTTTCCCCTTCTAATGCTTCTTCCGTTATCCTTTTTCTCTAAATATTATATATTCATGCATGTCCTTGTTGAAAGAGAGGTTTAATATGTATATGTGTTTTCAGCCTACCATTTGTGGTGAATTTTGTATGTTGAGAAATTTCTTTGTAATCCTTGTTGTTGGTTTTCTTGTATTACTTGTATCCTTTCGGACTAACAACTTCCGACGAAATCCAGATTAACGTACTAAGCGCGAGCGAGCGAGTGATAAACCAGTCGACAGGAGCTAACTAAGTGGAACACAACAAAGACAACAACACGACTTATAACGACAGCGACAACGTCAACGTCAACGGAAACGGATGCGCGCTACACAAACGGCTCAATCACTTGTGTTTCCTGTATGGCAACTATGTGCTGCAAGTATTATACTTGAAGTTATTTTAGATAATTAAGCCAAACAAAAAAAATTCAGTTCACTTAAATTTGGCACGATTTTCGATTTAAAATTTTTTATTTCTTTTTTATTTTTTGTATCTTTTTCACTTGTCTTCAGGAAGCGCGCATCACAGCGGCGACCTACTGCGCGAACTTTACGAGTTTTTTCTTAGTTTCGTCAGCTCGATGTGCGAGCGTATTTCAGGCGCCTACGACCGTCGCTTTTCACTTTCAACTTAAAAATGCTGCCAAGCTTTGATATCAGTTACTAATATAAGCCAGAGAAGTGAGTCGCTTGAAAAGCCAAAAGTGGCATAAGCAGAAAATAGCCGATGAGATGGTATAGAAGAAGAAGAAGAAACAGCAGGAGCAGCAGCGGCAGCGGCAGCGGCAACATAAAAAGTAGCAGTGACGACCTACGCTACACGCTGCGGATCAGTGTCGCTCAGTCACAGCTCTAGCCAAAGAAGATCTCAGAAAAATTTTTTTCATCGCCGCTCTTGCGCTTTGTTGTAAATAGCTTTAGTCAGCCCCCAAAATGCAACTCAACAGCACAGCAACTCATCAACATCACAACACACTGAGCACGGCCAACTGCGTGCATTGCCAAATTACTCCCTCGACCTACGACATCTCTGCATTGAGAGCTGCGTAAAAACACTTGAACTCTGAATGCGATGCATAAAAAAGGAGACGAGAGAAGCTCAAAAGAAACTGAAAGTGTTAAAAAAGCTATTTCAAAAAGAAGAAATAAATTCAAAATATCAACAAACAAAAAACATCAAACACAATAACGAAAGCTGCGTTGATGGCGAAAATCAATAAGAAGAGAGGACAAGAAAAAAATTCACTTGCGACGCGGACTCTTCAAAGCGACGCTTACAAAATCCGTAAACAACGCTGTTGACCAAAAAACCAGTCAGATGGACTGCTAGTCAGTCAGCCAGCCAGTCAGTCAGTCGAAAGAGTCACAACAACAGCGGCAGCTGCTCATACATTTTGTGGTCCCTCATTTTTGATGAGTTAACAGCTAAGTTATGTACAATAAGAATTATGTATTGTATTTACATACATACATACATACATATATATATATACAATACTATGTAGCCACGCTTAGTAGCATTGAAACGCCAGCCGGAGTAGAGCGTCGCTAGAGAGCGCTCGTCTATTATGTGTAAAATGCCACAATCTGTCGTTGTCGCTTACCCGTCGCTCATGACAATGACATCGCCATCACTGACCAGCAGCGGTTGCCGGTTGTTGTTGTTGTTCTTGTTGTTGGTGTCGTTGTTAAAGTGGTTTGTTACATTCAATAGTGACACACGTTAGCCAAAAAGGCAAAGGCGCTCAACGATAAAGTGGTTAGCGCCATGTACAGTGGGCTAAGTTTGTGCAAATGCTGCAGAGAAATGAAAGGAACATATTGGTAATAGCAGTGTGGTCTTATTTTATGGGAAAAAGCAAGAAGAGTTCTATAGGAATATTTGGAAGCAACAAAATTTCACCTCTTTGAAGTAGAGGAATTTCTAAAAAGAGTTGTTATTTTGATGTTCGAAGAGAAATTTAATTTTTTGAGTGAAATGAACGGATATTTCTTTCAATTTGAAGAGAGAGATTTGCCATTAATAATGAAAAACAATATCGGCCAAATAGCGGACACGGCTGCGCTTACGGGATCGTACCGTCTCTACGAAATTTGCCATCGCCAAATCTCAAAGTGTCTGCTGTATGCCCTCAATAGTGCCCGCTGTATGCCCTCAACTTGAGTTGACGTTGACCTTTCGGCATAGATTTAATCTTTCACGTTTCCTAAAAGCATGAAGTCCCCATTCGCGATCGCCTCTTCAAGAGAAAACACGGTCTGGAAACTTTTCCCTTAAAATACTGCTTGTGTGGTATGTGTACCCGTCTTGTTGAGAATAAAAGTTGTCCAAATCAGTACCATCCAATGCCGGCTATAAAAAAATATTATACATCTCTCGTTAGCACAATTCATTCACCGTAACTACTGCTCCAGGCTCATTTTCGAAAAAGGAGTGTCCAAAGACCTGGCTGGACAATAAACCGCACCGAAGAGTTACACGAGGGGAATGGGTTTTGCAATGAATCTTGTATTTTCCGAGTTCCAGATGTGACATTTTGCTTATTGACGTAACCAACGAAGCGGAAACGAGCCTCATAAGTCAAGATGATGTTCCGATGAAACTCCGGATCAAAGACAGGACGTTGTTGATGGTCGGTCGGCTTGAGTTCTCTGTTGAAAGGTGAAATGGCTTCATTTTTTATTTAATTTTTTTGGCTTTTTTTGTGACAATTGGCTGAAGTCCCATATTTCAAGGCTAATGGATACTTATGTCGAACTTCAGTCATGAAACATGGAGCTCAGAATTAATTTTATATTCCGACAGGAGCGAGTTTTGTTCCGGTTCGTCGGCGGCTGTTCAATTCTTCAGTGGTGGGAGAGTTTCAAACTTCCACACTGAGCTTCGTCGTTTTGTGCTGCATTTCATTCATATCGTTCCACTGTACGCTCCAAACACCAGCGGTGATGTTCCGCATAGCACCAACAACCGCAGCAGCGGCGGCAGCAGCTACAACAACGCGATATCAGCTTGTGAAACGTGAGTGAGCAACTGAAAATATTTACTACATAAACGAAACCAACAAAAAACGATAATAAATACAAGTAATGCCAACAATGTTAATAGGACTGACGGAGGCTAGAAAGATAGTTGAAGCTGGAAATATGTGCATATGTATGTATACACGTATGCATGCACGACTATGCAGAGATGAGTAAGCAAACAATCACTTTATACTTGGTACCAGTTTTGCAACATTTTTTCGCTGAAAAGGTGAAATATTTTTATTATCATTTAACTTGTCTGTCGCGTGCATACATACATACATGCACAACTACTACGACTACGTAACATGCAAATTTCTCGCAATTTACATGTCTCACCAACGGACAATGCGCACGCACGCACGCACGCATGCGCGCCATAACAAGGCGTGTGGATGGCTGGTGAGAAAAACGAGTTTGCCGTTCGTTGTTTGTTGTTGATGGTGGGAGTGTGAGTGGCGTATGTTGGCAACAGCTGAGCGCATGAAATGAGCAAACAACATACGTGTATGAGGGAGAGAGCAAGAGAGAACATGTCAATGATGCAAACGGCCGACAGATGATGACGATTGTTTTGCCATTTCTTTTTAGGTCAGCTTTCGTTGGAGCATAGGGAAGGCATGAAGAAACAAGTTAGTGTTGTTTGTTGGGTTTGGTACGATTGTTTTGCTCATGTGGTAGTCAGTGTAAAGTTTCACTTTCATTGGAGACTTGTAAAGAGGGCTCAGAGTAAAAATGTGTGATCACGTTGGTTTGAGTCTCTCTTCTCCCTGCCAAGCTCAACTGTAAATATGTAACAGGTAACAGGTTTGCAGCATCTTCGTTTTGAATCTCGATACAAGTTGCATCGACTACTGAATTGAAAGGTCATTAAGGCGTGCAATATCATTTTGTTTGGGGAGCATTTGCGGTTGGTTTTGTGGTTCCTGCATTATTTTAGGAAGTTAGCCATGATTTCTTTGTCGGGTTTTTTCGCAGTTCTATTTCAACAGTAATGGCACGCATATGTAGCACCAAAGTTGAGTTGAGTTGATGCAGCTGCTGGTCAAACCCAGCATACTTAGTCAATAGGTCCATTGTGATACCGCTGAGGTTCCTGCCTTATAAAGGCAACGAGATTTCCAATGTTCACTGAGGCCTACTCAGCGAGACAGTCGAGGATGCGTTACCAAAGAAACTTGTGTCGCGTGGATGTCAAGGCTGGACAGTGGCAGAGGTAGTGTCCGATGGTCTCCTCCTCTGCTTCGTCCCTACAGTCGCGGCAGAAATCGTTAGAGTAAAAAGCCATCCAAATCCCGCGAAGCCCTATTAAACAGTGTCCAGTTAATATACCAGAATTTATGTTAATGGAGAACCGGTCCAGCTTCCATGGTGAAGGCCAGTTTAAGTATGTATTTAGCCGTGGAAAGAGATAAATCAGCATCATGTGTTTTTTTTAATGTATATAGAAGGGTTCTTTCGCTTGCTAGTTCGTCTGCAGTGCAATTGATTTTTTTGACGTGGTACCGTTACATTGAGGAGATCTGATTGCAGCCTGACTATCGGAGTAAATTGCAACCGATCGTCCTGCTGCCGTAGATTTGTGCAACTACTTCGCGGCCTCCTGGAAAACGCTGCTATGATGTGGTATTTTCATGCCCATGCTTACTTAGAGCACGGGAGAATAAAATCCGCAACCCACCCTCCCATCGAACTTCGAGCCGTCTGTGAAGATGGTCATTGCTCCCTGGTCGGGGGCGTTGGTGTTTTCCCACTCGCATCTGTTAAGGTTTCTTGTGGTTAAAAGATTATGTAGTACTTATTTACACTTTCATTTAAATGTATTAATTATATTACTTAATATTTTATTTCGGTTGAGCTAATTGAATTCAAATTAGCCTAAAATAATAAAATTTTATATTTTCCTTATTTTATTTTAATTTATTTTATTTTCTTTATGTTTAATTTTATTTAATTGAACTTAATTTAATTCCAGTTAATTTTATTTTATTTTAACTTATATTATTGTACTTTATTTTAATTATTTTATTTTAATTATTTTATTTTATATTTTTAATTTTTATGGGATTTTCTTTTATTTTATTTTATATATAATTTTTTGAATTATTTTCCCTTAATGTAATTTATTTAATTTTATTTTAATTACTTTAAGTTAAGTTATTTAAACTTGTTTTATTTTATTACTTTATATAAATATAATTTTTTATATTTTATTTATCATATTTAATTTTTTTTATTTTTTGTTATTAATTTTTCTAATTCACTTTATTTTTTTATTTTGTTTAATTTTATATTATATTTTTTTCTTTTATTTCATTATCCTTATTTAATTTTTTTATGCTTTTATTTAAATTTTATTTTATCTTATTTTATTTTAATTAATTTAAATTAATTTATTTTAGATTGTTTTACTTTATTTTATTTGATTTCATTTTATTTTATTTTATTTTATTTTATTTTATTTTATTTTATTTTATTTTATTTTATTTTATTTTATTTTATTTTATTTCATTTAATTTAAATTAATTTTATTTTAGTTTATTTTAATTTGTAGCACTTAATTAAATTTTTTTTATTTTATTGTATTTTATTAAATATA